GCCTCTTGTAAGTCGACGACATCCCGTCTTAGCCACAACACGAAAGTTCAAATGGAATCTGGCAATAAAACATGCAGAAACACACCGCTCAGAAATGAAGAATCCACGCTGTAAGGTAAATAATATACAAAATTATACTACAACTGCGTCTAAAGCAGAAATAAGGCCATACTGTCCACGAAAAATAACGAAACATGCTGGCACAATATGACAAGTTACACTAAGGCCGACACTAATAGCTGGTGTAGCAACACCATCGCGTAAAATGGTACAAGTGGCAATGCTCAGAGTTCAGCTGCCAAACACTTTTGGTCTTCAAAGTATGGCACACAAACAAACTTAGGTGGAATGTATGGCACAAGTCTTCTGGGAATTAAACCACAGTCCAGCAGTGAAGGGCACATAGAATGTCACCAAACATTAGGTAGATTAATAGGTTATGGGCATCACAAAGTACCAGTAATTTTTTATTCTCCATATTCCGGCAAGCGCTAACCATACAGCTGATGGGGATGTTAACTCTTCTGAACTTGTATCACTAGTGTCGGCTCCCTCTTGGGAAGAAAACAGCCACAGTCCAGTGCACGCGCAATTATCAATCGCATCCAGTGCTTGGACAAACATAGGCCAAATAAAAACTCCTAACCATGTCTTAAACTTACCTAAGTCCAGAACTACTTTATCCTTTGTTGAATCCAATAAGTCGACCCATCATTCACGAAAAAGAGCAAATAAAAACGCGATAGATATAGATGAACATGGTACTGATGCAAGGACCTCATGCCACGTGGAACCCGTGGATGCCGGACCACATATGAGACTGGCTGACGGGCTTAAATATTTCAAACATTGCTTCAACTCTCAAATTAAACTAATCGTTGTTAATGCTAGTTCTAACCTAAACAAACTACGGGTGCTCACGGCACACACACTCGTATGTAAAGCCCCAATAATTTTTATTTGATCTTGATATGACTGTTATTATACCAGACGAGGAGATAAGCATCGATAGACACATACACTTTCGATGTGACAGGAGCGGCGTTAAGGGAGGAGGCTGTCTTATGTACTTCCTGAACACACTATATTACAACTAGAAAACAGGGAAGTCAATGATATGCACGACACCCAATGGGTTGACGTACACTTTAAAAGTGCTACACTATTAATAGGATGTATCTGGCACCTGGCACCTTTAGTGATTACAAAACACAACTTATAAATGCACTGGAGCAAGTATCCACTCTTCCATACGAGCAAAACATAATGTTGATTGTGACCAGCTGTACTATCTTTTACTAAGCACCATTTCAATTCCTCATCATATATTGCGGGAAAATAAAAGCTCAAAGTTGTTCGTCTGTCTTTAAAGAATATATTTGAATGAGCAGTACGTCTAATACCTGGCTTGTTTAGAACGAATCCGTTAATGTATCAGCATTTTAATTTCCATCGGGTTTAGCTGTTCACTTCATTGTGTTTGAGAAAATCCGCCAGCTGTGATCTAGTAAGGCAATTTAACCTAAAACTTCTCTTATTTCAGTGATACTTTTCCATTCAGATATGTTCTTATCAAAAGAAGGGATTCACTTTTTGGCATTCGCATATGGGAGTATTGCAAAATTAATAGTCCAGGCCGACAACTGCTACCCTGTCGTAGTGCTTGGGGTTGAATACAACAGTGATCCGACAAGCTAAAATGACTGGGACTTGTGTTTCTTCACCTCATACCATGTCGGGAAGGTTGTTTGGATAGTGGTTGGACTAGAAGCATTTGCCACGGGGTACATGGGCCCCGGAATCCAATCTGATCAAACGGTGTATGAACCTGTATTGGCCACCGACAACCATGGAAACGAAGCTCCTGATGCTACCCTGCGGATTAGACTTCAAGTTAAAGGGTCTGGGGGTGGTCTCCTGAGATAATCACCTGCTTCGGTTTGGGCTCCCAGGCAGTATCTCAGCCCTCATACAATCAATGAAATGAAACAACGAAGTATCAGTGAAATTAATTGTACTCTCTCAACAATGCTCTCGAACATTGATGATGTTTCAAGAGACGCATTTCTTTCCAACCTTATAATAATAATAATGTATTTCATATAAATTTACAAATTTATATGAAAATGCATGCCATTTTTACAGGCACGATCAAGTATGATATAATATCAAATGGTAGATTGTCTACAAGTTAATCGTATTTCAACTGTTAAATATTCGATACATATAATACACTCATTTTCTGAATTAGGCCGTATAGTTATTGAATTGTACAGTTGTCCTCCAGGTTGAGCGGGAAAATCGACTTCGTTCCGTTTTCATCCCGTGGTTGTAGGCATACGATAACCAACCAATATTGAGGTAAGTACACCTTTTACAAGGAATTGGAATCTGTTTTAGAAAAATTAAAGTGCTGAGGTGAATCATTAAATTGTAATGAAATAGGTAAGTGCAAGTATCATTAATAAATGCATTAATAAAGGAAACACCCTAGGGTAACAACATTCATTTGCAATGTATAATGCTACAGATATATCACAAACTATCATGATATCCACTTTTGGTTTTAATACAATTATCCTCATGCCAGTTGTTTTTATTTGATACCTTTTTGTGCATTTAGTGCACAGCCGTACCCTTCAGAGAGTAGGAGTATAATAAGTAATGAAGAGCCATAAGATGTTAAGTTTAATGGAGTAAAATGAGGATCAAGTAAAGACGTTGTCAGAAAATAAATGAGATAAGACATTGTGGAGTGGTATGAAAAGATCTGACGATAGACAGCAAGTTAATTTATAAGATGCCCCATAAATCTGAGCAGATCCCACATGGTCGCATCTCAACAATAGGCTGGGGGAATGGTATAAATTTAAAGGTAGAAGCATGATCTGTCAAGGCGTTCATTGTTATCTTTTTCAAGATAAAGATTTAAGCCCTCATAAAAATCAGAAATATCTCGAGCCTTCAAATTTTTAATGCTGTTCCTGCAGAATGGGGCGATTCACCTTAGTGACCCCCACCATATCTACTGATCAGCTAACTCCACCCTCCCACCTTTATTTTTATATGTAAAGACTTCAGCCTAATTGGAATCAACTAGGATTTATCGACAGGCCCAAATAAATATGACGGGCTTTTAGGAACGCTTGACATTTTCGACTGGAAACAAACTGTCACTATCCACAAAAGAGGTGCTAGGCTTAATATTCTACCACAACATAAGTACCTCCCAATCCTAGTGGGTTCTAATTTTTCAGGTAACGACTATAGAATAGTGCTGTATACACTGCCACTTCCACTGATTTGCACTGCAGCTTATACTCCTACCTCTCAACTAATAACAATAGTAAGTACAATAAGGCAGACTGGGCTTCCATGGAATCAATCCTAAGATCCTCTGAATGGGGTGGGTACTTCACTAGTGATGACCTGTCGAGAGCTCTGAGCATCCTTTACCAGAACTCAGACACATGCTTAGATGCAGCTATTCCCCTCCAAACACTTAAAGTTTCCCCACACAAATAAACATTTATAAAACCAAAGGGCAGTACGAAACTGAAGAGACTCTCGACAAGTCACTTCATACACTACGAATTCGGCACACTAGAGTCAATACTGAACGCTCTTAGCTGTCCCTCAAAAGCCCGAGATTCGCGTAAGAGGACCGAAGAACGCGCCACACTAGCCAGCTCTGCTAGGGTGTATGGTTTCACAGAAATCCTAAAGAAGCGATTTAACAGCAAAACTACAGCATTCCTCTCCTCATAGACAAAAGTAGACTATACAATGACTCCGCAAATATGCGTGAATTATTCAGTAAACTATTCGCAGCCAAGTACCTTAAGCCTACAGTCCCATTACTCAGTATACACCCTACTACTAATACGACACAACTTCCATCTTTACCCAAACAAAAACAAATTAGTAACTTTGAGTTCACTTATGCTGACATGAACAAAACTATTAGAACTCTCAAAAGCTCTAAAGGTTTTGTCACTGACGGTATATCATCGTATTTCTATAAATATGGTGGACCTAACACTCCCATATTAATACTTACAATCTTCCCAATGTCCTTAGGGTCCCAAACTTACCCGCACATTATTACACTTAAGCGCAAATGCTGCTCGAAAAAAAATAATAACATCAGTTCATCATTACTCAACGGGAACTACAAGCTCCTGGCAAAGGTTTAGAAATAGGCAAAAAAGGAGATTATGGGTATTAGGTTGTTGGAGGCAATCAGCAGGAAACCTTGGATCTAGGTTTCGTGCTAGTTGGCACTCATCAGCAAGGCGTATCTATAACCTTGAAGGAACTCATGTCCCTCCTGAGATTCGAACCCACGCCTTCGAAACAAACTGTATGATGAACGTTTTCCATACACTTGGTTGCCTCAAGTTAGAGGGTGACATAATAATCGCTTGTAAATGAGCAGAGTCAGCCAAATTATGGTATCCTACCATCAGGTCATTGAGATTTGCCGTAGTTACCATCTGTAGGAAAAGTTAACCATAACCTGAATAAAAATTCATGTAATCTTATTATTTGACCTTGTTATATTATATCTTGACTTCACACAGTGTTTTTGATACGAGTATGGAATTTTCAGCATGTGATTTCGGCAGCCAAAATTTAGCAGGCCAACCATGGGTATCAGGTGTGCGTTGGCCGGGGGTCGAACACTGGATCACGTACATGGCCGGTGAGCGTCCTAATCTCTGCGCCACCGAAGCACCAAAAGTAGTCAGCAGGCCGAGCTGATGTGTAATCTCAGATAGCAAACTTTGCCACTAGGCCTCAGCTGAATTCGCTCTTGAGTCCTGCACAGTCTTCCTTGTCTTGCCTCTTTTCCATGAAGAAGCAGTATGTGTGCCTTCAGTTGGCGTTTGGAAGACAGGGTAGACTAGCGCAGATACTTAAACTGATAAGAAGCCGGAAGCCATCAATTCGAAGTTACAAATCTGAATTTTGAGAGTATAATTCCTGTAACTAATCACTTTCGCGTTTATAACTTAGAATCAGGACAACAGCTACCATAGTTTTTAGGGAATAGAATATTTTCGGCCTCACCTGCTACGGAGTCAAGGAACTTTTGGATAATTCTGGTAGATAAACCTGAACTAAGGTCTAGACAACTAAGTTCGTCGTTTCACATCTTTACATTCTCTCCCGTCTCACTCTCCTGACAACTATAACTACACTTCTTATTATTACTACAGCTACATATATCAACTTCAAATTTAATCAGCTGCCTTTTTTAACGTTTTTTAAATTCTTTTTATGTCTGTTAGTCTGAGTAACTTCACTAATTATATCTATCATTATTATTCTTATCTCTTTTCTTTTGACGACAATACCGGAGGACTAACTAGTGAAAGGATCAACTGCATTCACAGTAGTAACAGTCTTAGCACACCTCATACTACAAATCACATATAATTAATCCTAGCACTTCTCCTTTTGGAGCCAACCAAAGCTACAACAGTCGAGTGACGGGACGAGCTACGCAGAAGTTTACCAAAGATCGGGAACCTATACCTCACAATCAAGAGGCTAGCACAAAGAAATCAAATTGGTTTATACTAGCTCGTAAAAACGATATTGGATATTGGATTCGGGAATTCGCTTCTCCAATGGAGTCATAAACGTTCGGATTGTAGTCTTATAGACAGCAGTGTCTGCTCATCTTATTCTGCCTTCCTTGAGAGTATACGAGACACTCAGAGAAATTAAACAGAAAAGCAGTAGCACAGGTTACGATTCTTACACATTCATTAACTATAAATGAATATGGTTTATTCTACTGTGTCTTACATATGATGGATACTACAAAGTAAATGGACACTATCATATGTTATGGCAAATATTGGCAAGAGTAAACGGTTGGTTGAAATTTCGCTCGGCAAATTTTTTTGTCAATAATTTTTAATAAAATTTTGTTATATGTTTTCTGGATTGATAGGAATTCTCATTTCCTGGCTAGTTATGTTGGTGTCCACGTCATTTAATCTGACTGCGACACACTTAGCATATTGGTTGTAATGATTAGTGTTTCACGCTGAATGCGTCAAAACATCTCTACAATGAAGAAGATGGGGTAGTTGGGGGGTAATAATAATAATAATAATATATATTTCGTATAAACGGGTAAGTTTACATGAAATGCATGCCATTTTTACAGGCACGATCAATTATGTTACGAATAACAATTGTTAATTAGCATACATTGTCACTTTTTCAAAAAGTTCATATTGTTGAGTTATAGTACAAGCAATCAGAACAGATTCTTATAAATGTTAATTTGTAAATATTTCACGAAGGTCACCATCGAAGTTGAGCGACAACCCGAAATTCGTTCCATTTCCCGATGATAGTTATGACCAATCGATAAACAACATATATTTGTGTGAGTGCTATGCCTTCAAATTCTTGAACGCTATTTTAGGAACTGAAGAAAATCTGGCGCAGCTGCAAAATGGTATAGAATGCAATTATGAATAATACATTATTAAAAGTATATTTACAAGATAAATACAAGAAGCTATGTAGTACTTGAAATGATAATACACATTTGCAATGTATGATGCTAACCATATTGGTCTTACCATGGAAAACTATGACGCTTTCTATGAAAATATATTTATTCTCAAACATGAGTGTTGTTGTTTTTATCATCAGAGCAACCGAACTTTACGCGAGAAAAGGGTGTAAATGAGAAGAGGGAAAAAATTTCAGCTTCATTAAAGTCCTAGGAAGTTGAGATAAAATAGAGTATAATAGTAATTAGGTAGAAGGATTATTGTGAAGTATATAAGTAACATTTCAGAGAGAAGTGGCTAGAAGGACTAGAACCTGTTGAATACGGTGACCTGTAGGATGTTTGGCGAACTTGTGTATGGCCCATGGGATAGCATCTTGACAAGAAACTGAGCAGGCTTGTAGATGTTAGGAGCGAAAGCATTGTTATTTTTTTACAAGCTAAAACTGTACAGTCATTATTGTTTTATTTTTTCAATTAATTTTTTTTCAAAGTCTATTTTTTTTTATACATTTAGTATCTAAACTCATGTTTAGTTCTCGAGCTGCCAAAATAATGCATGTTGCTGTCCTACAGATCGGAGCGATTCACATTTGTGACCACTACCAAATCTGCTGATCAGCATGCGCCACCCTCCCTCCTTTTTTGACATTAAGCTCTGAGACCTTTTACAATGACTGCAGTTGTAATATTAAATTGCTTTGACTCCGTCCCAATCATACAGTATGCTGCACATTAACAGCTTTCATGACAAGTGCTTCCCATTAGGTCACATGGCACAATAATACCAGAGGACATCGTGAGCAATATTATCATCATACTAGTGAACAAGTGGGTTACTACAAAAGACTAAGAAATTAGGTTTCCCTTAAGAGTTATGAAGTATAAAAATAGCTAATATTAGAACAACTAAGTTATATTCTATTTATCAGAGTGATATGAGTAGTGGAACAATTAGTGATAAAGTTATGTAAAGTGGTCCTGAGTAAGGCAACTGGTTAGCAGAACTTGTTATGCTAAATTTTCACGACCGATTTCATATGGTGTGCGTTACACATTGCAAAGTGACTCATCAATTATATAATGGAGAAATACTACATAATTTCAACATTATGAATTTTTTAGAAAATTATATGAATATGGGTAGGTGTTGACTGAAGATAGTCATTTCAACTCAAAAATAGTGCTAATAATATAAGCATATATGTAAAATATTAAAAGATATGGTTGCTAATGTAAATGTTTATGGAAATAATTACACTGACGAACTTATTGAAGATTACAGTGAGGAGAAAGTCAGTGAGTTAGTTAAACGGTTACTGCGCAGTAAGTAGTTAGAACATCTTTAAAAGTAAAAGGTAGAAGAGTTTTCAGTACTGGGTCAAATTAAGACATAATCTACGGATTAGAGTGTAGTGGATAGTGGTACGATTAAAGATAAGGTTAGGTTGAGTGAGCTTGGGGAAAATGGTTGGTTGGCTGAGTTTGTTATTGCTAAGTTTTCCTGGCCACTTTTCATATGGCGTGCTTTAGACATTACAAAGTAACAGTTTGCTTATATTATGGAAGAACTATCACAACTAATTTAGGATTATACGTCCAGGATAATTATAGATAGTCTTGTGAGTTTATAAGCCCGATTGATGAAATATTGATAAGATCTCCAATAAGCTGAATAACCAAACCTCAGATCAAGGCATATGGGAGAAATTGGATTGGTTTTATCACGTTTTAGGTGCGGTACTGTTGCTGGGGCAAATGAGTTTCCTCAAATTGGGGGTATTGCACTGGGGTCTGTAGTACCAAAGTTAGATGAACAGCCCATATGGGTAAAGTATGGATAAGTAGACCGAAGCTCTTTTGTTGACAAGAACTCGTTAAGAAGACGCTGGAATTCAGTGGGAGATCGGCAACTACGTACATTAAGTGGAAGTTCGTTCCATAATGCACTGTACTGTATTTTGAAGAAACGTGATCGCAGTTTTGTCCGGTACCGGCTTATGGATAGATTATTTTCATGATTTCTAAGAGTATATATGGTTAAATTATTGAAAGCTATTGGATTACTGCTTTTGAGGTAGCCATGTAAAAGGCGAAAAAGGAATGTAAGGTTGAGTTTCAGGCGCCTTAACCAAAGTGGCTGAAGTCTATACATTTTGCACCTATCCGCGTAAGTCAGTCCTTCATGTTTGTGTAATAGGCGTCGTGTAAAACTTCGCTGAATATTTTCAATACGAACCCTGTCATACCCATTCATGAAACCGAAGACAATTGTGCAGTATTCAATTACTGGGCGAATCATGACTTTGTATAAAAGGACTTTAGCCTCAGTTGTGTACATTTTTCGATGTAACAAGCCTGTGAGTCTTCGGCATTTAGAAACAAGTGCTTTTGCATACTGACTAAATGTTAAGTTCTGTGAGTAGGTAACTCCCAGGTCTTTTATGGAATTGAGGGTTTGGAGAGAGGAGTCACCTAGGTGTAACCTGAAATACGGGTGGGAGTTGTTGAAATATAAGGCACCACATTTATCAGAATTGAATGGCAGTTGCCAATCAGTGCTCCAGTTATGTAATCTATCCAGATCATCTTGAAAATGTGTGAATCCCTCGTTCATTGTAGAATGGGGGAAGCTGTATACAATCTTTAAGTCATCAGCAAAGAGGTATGGGGTACCATGCTTGATTACGCTGCAGATATCGTTAATGTAGATTACGAAAAGCAATGGACCTAGTACACTACCCTGAATTACTCCACTTCGTATGGGTCTGGGTGATGAGTAATTATTTGCAAATTTCACAACTTGGGAACGATCTTCCAAGAAAGAAACGAGCCAGGATAACAAGGGGTCCTGGAACCCGTACGACTTTAGCTTAAGGATTAGTCTCTTGTGTGGGACTTTATCAAAGGCTTTTTTGAAGTCAAAGAAGAGGGTTGTGACAAGCAAACCATGATCTCACTTAGCGGTAACATCATCAAAGTAGTCAAGTAGGCAGGTGGAGCATGATCGACTTTTCAAGAAGCCGTGTTGTGCTGGAGTAAACAATTTGTGAAGGTGGAGGTATGAAGCAATATCTTGCCCTATAACTTTTTCCATAACCCTAGAAACTACTGACGTGATATTGATCGGTCGGTAGTTTTCGATATTAGAAGTTGGTCCTAGTTTGTGCCTAGGGGTTATAAACGACAGCTTCCAGCACTCTGGGTAACTGCCATTATTTAAGGACAGATTGAAAAACTTTAGGAGGATAATGGGTATGTCCTCACCACCTCTTTTCAACAAGATAGATGGAATTCCATCAGGTCCAGCTTTATATGATGTCCGGAGGGATGCTATAGCGGAGGAAATCTTTTGTTGGGTAAATGTTATATTACCCAAAAAGTGATATGGTATTATCGGAACATCAAGACTACCTACTGTTTCTTCGTTAGTAAAGTAGCTAGAAAAGTGGGAGCTGAATAACTCGCATATCTCCTGTGGGTCTTCGTATAGTTTTTC